GTAATCAGTTCTGTGCATCCTGTGTCTGATCGTGAACGGCTTCTGTGCTCTAAGTTGCCCGGTGTGCACCCCTGAGCGCCCATTCCCACTGACCTCGTGCCGTTTTTCGTCTGTGCGAGGTGCGCGGCGCCGCGGAGCTGGAGCCGCGCGCCGAGCCGGTGGCCGGACTGGTGTCTCGAGAGCCGCGGCTGGAGCGTTCGTCGCGCAGTGAGGACGGCATGGCGGCCGGGCCGGCCGGGCCGGGGCCGGCGGACGGCCGCCGCCGCCCCTCCGGAGAACAGGGCAGGCTGCCGTCGGGGAGCTGACCAGGTCACCTCGCCCTCAGCCGGAGAGCAGAGCAGTCCGCTTGTCCCTGCTCCCAGCAGAACAGGCCGCCTCTCTCTCTCCGCCGACAGCTGCAGTTAGAATGAGGCTTTCAGAGGACTTCTTGACATTGATAGCCGAAGGTTGTATAGGAGCATGGCGCCTGGGGCAAAGCATAGTAGCCTAGGCACCTACCTATTCTGCTGAATTCCTTGGCATGCATTATAAACAGTGCAAATAGTTAGGTATGCATTGTGCAATGTGCATGTAAACGCTGTTAACTCGCAAATATCAAGTGTTACATTGGCGATGAACGTTGCAAAATGTGGCAGGTCGAGCGGTGCAATAACTGTCTAACTTTAGAGACAGTCCACTGTCCAATGGCAGTACCAGCGCTCTCTACTGCCGCTTTCCCAGCGTCACCAGGACAGTTGTGATCGGGTTCGCTGGTCGATATCGCCATCGGCGGCCGGTGTTACATTCTCAGAGCCCAAAAGGTCAGCAGGGATTAGTCGGCCAGAGATACTGTGCGCCGGCCTGCCGCCGAGCGGTACCGGGCACGTCGCCGGCCCGGCCAGCAATGGGGCGCTCTCAAACGGCAGCCGCGAGACAGTCAGAAGACGGAAACAGCGCAAAGTCGGCACTGGCACAGCTCGTAGCGCAGTCATCGCAAATGCAGACTGCAGACGGGCAGACAGCATATTGACCTAAACAGCGACGGGCGACAATAAGGCACTTAATTATGCAAAGGATCTTTCAATAACGACTGCCAGACGTCGAACATTTCCTCCGAACTTCCTTCGTCTTCTTTTTCCGTCCCGCGCGTCTGTCCAATTTCGTGTCACCGCCCGTCACCGCTCAGCTGAGCCTACAGGGTCCCCGCGGCACATTATCACCTGCTCATAATTTATAAGTTTGCTGCTCTCGGCTGCTGTAGCTGGTCGGCCGATCGATGGCTGGCTTTCCGGTCCGACCCAGTGCTACAATGCATTCCGGCGGGCCGTTCGCGGCCGGATGGGGCCATCATCGACCGGCGTCGCACCTCGCCACCTGCGCTGACACCGCTCGTAACGCGGGGACTTCAGCGAATTCGCCCGTCCCGCAGCAGGACCAGGAGTCGGCGATGTAGGAGGGTGTATGAAGTCGGCGATGAAGTGCGGGCACTTCACAGTGTGTGCACTGCGCACCTACCCAGTCGGGTGTATATTCATGTAAACTGTTAGCGGCCCCGCTCTCGCCCGCCCCCCGTAAGTGTCTGGCCGTCCCAGCCGCCGGCAGATTGGTAACATGATACCCGGGCCCGGTCCCCGGCCGATAAGGCGCCGCACCTAATTGACTCCAGCTGCTGGCGGCGGTCGCTGCCGGCCGGCTCCGGGGTTATGTGCAGTTACTAGTTAATTAGATAAGACGCTCCCCCGCTGCGCTAATTGTTCGTCTGGGAGCGTCCCGGCCGCCCGGTCCCGCCCATTCTGTATCGTAAACGTCCCGGTCCGCCCCTCCTGTATCGTAAACTGCGGCCGCCGCTGAGAGGGGGCGGCCGAGGGGGCGGGTGGTCGTAAACACGGACCGACTACCCCTCCATTCAGAGCCGTGTACCGAACGGTGGGTCGCCGGGAATGATGGACTCGCACTCTATTCAGAACTAGTGCAACGAGTGACAGGTCACCATAAAAGCTAACCAGCTGGCCACCCCATTCAGGGTACCTGCCTATCACACGGCTGGTTACCAAAACAATGACATGTTTCACCACTAACTGACCTGTGAGTTGACAGTTGTATTACAGACGTGACAAGTCCCACTGACCTGTGACAGGAATAGGTATCACTGGCATGTGACAGGTGTGTCACTGACTGACCTGTGACAGTTGTGTAACTGACCTGTGACAGGTGTGTGACTGACTTGTGACAGGTGTTGCGTCACTGACTGACCCGTGACAAATGTTTCACTAGTCTGTGACAGCTGCCACTGACCTCTGACATGTGTGTCACTGACCTGTAACAGGTGTGTCACTGAATGACCTGTGACAGGTGTCACTGACTTTCACTGACCTGTGTCAGGTGTGTCACTGGTCTGTGTCAGGTGTGTTACCGACCTGTGACAGTTGTGTCACTGGTGTCACTGACCTGTGACAGGTGTGTCACTGACTGACCTGTGTCAGGTGTCACTGGTGTCGCTGACCTGTGACAGGTGTGTCACTGACTGACCTGTGTCAGGTGTCACTGACTCACTGACCTGTGACGGCCGTGTTATCACTGACCTGTGAAAGGTGTGTCACTGACCTATGACGGGCGTATCACTGACCTGCAACAGGTGTGTCACTGACCTATGACGGGCGTGTCACTGACCTGTGACAGATTTGCCACTGACCTGTGACAGATTTGCCACTGACCTGTGACAGGTCACAGGTGTGTCACTGACCTATGACGGGCGTATCACTGACCTGTGACAGGTGTGTCACTGACTGACCTGTGTCAGGTGTCACTGACTCACTGACCTGTAACAGGTGTGTCACTGACCTATGTCGGGCATGTCACTGACCTGTGACAGGTGTGTCACTGACCTATGACGGGCAGCGTGTCACTGACCTGTGACAGGTGTGTCGGCCGGCGGTCAGCAGGTCGCGGTGCCGTCCCGTCGGCGGCTGGCGGGCCACTCGGCCGTCCAGCCACAGTCGGCCGCCTTATAGTCTGCACAGGCTCAGCGATCAATACGGGCACACACGGACGGCGGTACACGGCGCGCCGCCGGAGGTGCACCGCCCCCCCCCCCAACCCCCTCTGCCGGCACACCGGCGACAGGTGGACGGAGGGGGGGGGGGGGTCAGAGTCATCCGGCGGTCAGGGCAGCGGAATGACCCTCGCACCGCCGGGGACTGTTTTTAAAATGAGCGACACCGCGCGGTCTTGCAATAGCGTAAAAACAGCACCGCTGCGCACATTGTTTACTCACTTCACTTTATCATGTCTTCTTTCAAGATATGTGAAACTATTAGTTTTAGACCACCTTTTTCAGGTGAGCATCAAGGTCAGCCACAGCACGATGTCAGTTCACCAGGCCAGGTCTTATCGCCGACCATTAAAAAATCAACATAGGCTTTACCACACAGGCTGCGTAAACAAGCAAATATCTGATAACTATCGTAATCTGCGTGCGAAATCGTCTGTCGCTGCGTGTCTCCTCGTTTTACCTTCATTCAGCTTGAGGACCAGCGTGACTGATCAGTCTGTTCCATATCCCGCCTTCAGTCAGTGGCGTCTCTCTCTCTCTCTCTCTCTCTCTCTCTCTCTCTCTCTCTCTCTCTCTCTCTCTCTCTCTCTCTCTCTCTCTCTCTCTCTCTCTCTCTCTCTCTCTCTCTCGCTCTCTCTCTCTCTCTTTCGCTCTCTCTCTCTCTCGCTCTCTCTCTCGCTCTCTCGCTCTCTCGCTCTCTCTCTCTCTCTTCTCTCTCTCTCTCTCTCTCTCTCTCTCTCTCTCTTCTCTCTCTCTCTCTCTCTCTCTCTCTCTCTCTCTCTCTCTCTCTCTCTCTCTCTCTCTCTCTCTCTCTCTCTCTCTCTCTCTCTCTCTCCCTGTTCCGCGAACGCCGCTCTGGGCGTGTCAGTTTCAGACAGGACTAATGAGACGGCAGGATGGATGCGACACGGGGCCCTGCAGCCACATCAGACGCGCCGGACATTTTCGGCAGAGCGTCAGCAGCCCGCCGCGGGGGACGCAGTCGGGACAGACACAGGGCCAAAAACTGAACGGAACACCGAGACCTGATATACCTGTTTCGGGGAACAGTGGTCATTACAGATGACAGTGATTTTTCTCAACGGGGCTGTTCCTCGTCAGCGGCGAGAAAAATATACCTAACCACGACGAGTTGACCAAAGTTGACCGAGTTGACCTGGTCAGTGGTAACCGCCCAAGGCAATTTCACTGACTTCGACACCCGCACGGCACCGCGCGTAGCCAAGAGATCTCCCTCCCTCGCCCCGGCTGCGTGAGTGGGCAGGACGGCCGTCAGACTAGACTCATCCGGGCGCAATACCCGTCACTCGAGACATAGCCGAGATGGTCGCGAGAAATTCTAAAACGCAGCACCAGTCCAAGTCATCTGCAGGTAGTCACCCTAGCGGCCATACGCGAAATGTTGATCTTCTGACGCCGCAGGAGACGGGAAGTTAGAAAGGGTGAACTCGTATATTATCTGCCAATGACTGCTCGCTTAAACGATGTTTTCATTGATATGCCAATGATTGGCAAGAACAATCGAGTTCCAACACTGTGGCCACAATTAACTCCCCAATGGATGTTATAGACATAGGGTAACATTTACTGTCGTAAAACATCGTCCAAATGGTAGCATAATGCCACAATCATCCGTCACTGAAGATGACAGAGATGGACAATACAAATTCACAATCATTTATCACACCCGATCGCTGGGTTATGCAGTAGGAATAACTCGGGACCAATATTTGTTCAGTGATTGTCACCAGTCAGGCAATCACCGTGGCTTTGTATCCCGACAGTCGGGACATCCCACCCAGTGCACTGGCCTGCTTGACGTCATTTCATTGATCTATTCTGGTGATCGGGTCTTCCCGGCTGTCACGCCACTCCGTCCTTCATTTAATACACGCCATTAGAAGTGATCGAAGAATTAGACGGTTGATCTCGTTATCAGGCTCTGTAAGTGAGCTGAAATCAAACGAACTTCTTGTAAAAAAGGCGTGTTGTATTTCCACAACTTCCATGATCACATGTTAGCATGACACACAAGCGAATTCGGTATCACAGGACTTTCCGCTACTGAACCGAGGATCCTACGCTGCTGAGACACCTTTACACCACACTCGGCAGCTGTAACATCTCCACCAGGACTCCCCAGCCCTTTACCGGTCACAGCTGCGATCTCCCAGTGTCGGACCGGGCCGCTCCCACTGCCGGTCGTTGGAGGAACGGTCCCAGCGGAGCACTGACTGGCCAGAGCGTGCCGCGGAGCAGCAGTGACCGGTCACATCGGGTCACTGACCGATCACAAAGCGTCACTGACCGGTCACATCGGGTCAGTGACCACCGATCGACCACAGTGGGTTACTGACCGTTAACTGCGGGTAACTGACAGACCAATCACAGCGGGTCATTGACCGGTCACAGCGTGTCAGAGGTCAATTTTTACCTCAGCGGCACACTGACCGGTCAGAGCGAATAAATGGCCGGTCACACCACCCCAATGAGCACCGAGCGGTCACAGCACCTTACCAATCGGTCGCATAGGGCCATTGACCACCTGGCACCGGCCGATCTCAGCAGGTCACTGCACGCTGGACACTGGCCGATTACAGCGGGCTACTGACCGATCACTGACCGTTTGTCACATCAGGTCACTGACCGGTCACAGCACCTCACTAACCGTCCCTCTCCTATCACAGCGCGTCTGGGTCGGGCCGGTAGCAGGCGGCCAGGTCACTGACCGGTCACAGCTGGGTCACTGACCGGTCACAGCGCGTCCGTGTCCGGCCGGTAGCAGGCGGCCAGGTCACTGAGACGCTCGCGGACCTCACTGAAGTCGTCCGCCTCCAGGCCGCCGGCGGCGAACCGGTGGAACTTGGACACGTTGTAGCGGCCGACGATAGCGCCCAGGGAGGCCAGGCACTCGCCGGTCGAGCGGGACGAGACCAGAGAGCCGGCCGCCGGGGCCGACGACACCGCTGTGGCACCGGAGAGGGGCAGGGGAGTTACACAGGGCGACTGACGACGGTCGGAAGACAGACCCGGGCACAGTGGGGTGGGGTTTTGTACATCGGAGGACAGTCAGTAAGGGTGACAAATGGCAAAAGAAGCAGACAGTGCATGAAATCATACATGCTCAAAATGTACGCAATGCTATCATGAACATTGAACGATGTCGATAAAAAGCTCACAACACTAGCATGCCAAAATACACAAAATAGACATGCACTACCTACGCTGTGATTGTATTTGTGTAAGTGTGTGTGCGTGTGTGCGCAATACGCTGCAGTAGGTTACCTGAAATAAGGACGTTCTACCTAAGACCTGTATTACTCTGATCTACCTAAGAAGTAAGCTGATCAAAAACAGACATCGAAAGCACGCTCGAGCATTTCTAGGTAACTGGGAAGTTAGTAATTCCCCGCGTCTATCCGATTTCCCTGAGGCATCGCCCTGTCAGGAGGGCCTGATCAAAGAAATCCCATTGGCAGTACTGAGAACGGTAAACGGCAATAAACGCTGCCTGAACGTCAGAATGGATATTTTAAAATTCATACATAGATGGGCGAGCGACAAAACTTTTCATCTACCCTGTGTTTTTGTCAAATTGCCTTCGTTGTTATCGCCGGCAAGCATGTTCGATTGGAAAAGAGCCCGAAACAATGTTCGCTTTGAAATGATAGGTATTGCTACAGTATGACTGTTAATTCTGAAAACCGACTATAAAAACTGGACGCGGTAGTTACTGAAATGCTTTTACGCAGCATACTCTACTTCCAAGCACTACCTACCCATACCAAAACATGACATATGAAACACGGCGGTTATAGCGCCGCAAATCCATCAGTTCATCGTCCGCTGTCAATGCCTCAGCGTCTGGAACCTCGCCACCACTTACGTTACATCACCACCCGTGACCTCCCACCAGCCGCCACGCTCCTCACCCGTGGCGTTGACCTGTCGGGGTCGGACCAGCCCGTCCGGGCCGACGTCGGCCGTGAACAGGAACGGGAACGGCGCGGCCGTCCTCAGCGGCTCCCGCAGCCGGCAGGCCAGCTGGCGGCCCGGCCACTGCGCCACCGCCTCCTGCCACGGGTCACTGTCGGATCTGTGGGTAGAGGGCACGGGCCACGGGTCACTGTCGGACCTGTGGGCAGAGCGTGTGGGTCACGGGTCACTGTTGGATCTGTGGGCAGAGGTCAAAGTGGGTTCTTGGAGCACAGGTCATAGGTCAGGGGTTATTGTCGGCCGTAGGCACAAGGCACCGGTCACAAGACACTGCTAGTCGTGCAGTCACTCGTCATGGGTCAGCTGCCGGTACTAAGGTCACAGGTCACGGGACAAGTGCCAGTTCTGCAGTCACCGGCTAGGTGCCGGGTCTCAAGTTGCCGGTCACGAGTCTGTGGCACTGGGGTCACAGATCATGGAGCGTGTGTCACCGTTCACCTGGAGCCACCAGCCGGCTCTCACAGGTCGCTGAACTTCTGTCACTGCTCAGGCGATTCCCGGAACTGGTGCCACGGGTCTCAGGTGAGCTGTAGCGGCCGGCGAGTTCCGCCCGGATGTGCCGCGCGCCGGCCGCCGGTGCGGACTCCGCCCCGCTCACCGACCGAGTACCGGAGGCGGCTCAAATGGCACCAGCCCGTCTCGGTATGAAAAGGGAGCCGCTCGGCGGCAATACTCCCCAGTGTACACCGCGGAGACTTCCCGAGGTTTCGCACACGGCTCCAAAGGTCAGAACCTTTTCAGTGGCGAGCTGAGAAGGCGGATTTCCCGACGGCGCGGGAAATCGGGTGTGGCAACCGTCACACCTAATATTCACACGGGCCCGGGCAGCCATCCGTCACCACCCACTTTGGTTGCTTCACCAGTGACATCGCCTATCAAGTTAGTCCATCCCGAAAGGAAAATATTCGAAACAATGTAAATAAAGAGCGTAACTACGATCAAATGATGCTGTTAAAATAAGATGCAGATTAGGTATACAAATGCTCCAAAATGCATCAAACTATTCTCTGTGCACTGGTGAGACGTGGCGAGATAATTTTTTGTTTTGTTTAATTGGGTTAGGACCTTTCGGTCCGACAAGACCAGTTCAGAGCCGGAAGGATGATAGGATTTAGGGGGAGACATTGGTCTGGGCAAGCATCCTAGTGAGTCACCGCGGCTGAGCCCGTCCGAATGAACAGGCCGACCAGCCCCCCAAGTACACACTGCACCAGACTACGGGTGTGCTCCCTCGGGAGCAGCGGAGCCGCTCCAAGAGAGCAGCCCGCATGAGATGAGAATTGCCTGTCCAGAGTTGCCTGTCAAGAGTTGCCGCATGAGAGTTGCCTGTTCAGCCCGGACCGAGGGTTGCGGCGTGGAGGAGAAGGATTTGATTGTCCCTACGATGGAAACGACGGATGGGTTGGTGGAGAGATAAAATCGACGCTGGGATGCATCGTATGCGGCAAAGTCTTCTCGGACAGTTTCCAGTCTTGAGCCGTCGAAAACCTAGGCTGCACTCGAATGGAGCTAAGTATTTTTGCATACGTAATCCATTGATGATGACCAGTACCTACCACTTGCCAAGTAGTCAATACAAGATCCACTACAAGTCAAGAGGGATAAACAACGTACAATTTTCAAAGAGTTAAAATTGTTTTAACCCTCGCCCGCACATGGGGGGGGGGGGGTGGTTGCCACCCCCCCCCAGGCAGTCTTTCTGCTCTGCACTCAACATTTTTAGAGCTAGAAGGCTGATTTTTCGTATAGCTGCTCGTCTATCCTTTCTTGATGTCCACTGAAAATTTCAAGTTTCTGTGATTTTTGGTTTCGGAGATATGACCTTGTTTTTCAGGTCATGTCATGACCCAAATGGCCAATTCTCAACATCTTCCGTTTGCCATGGGTCTTGTGAGCTTTTGTCACCCTGATTTCGGCCTTTTTTGCCAGTCTTACCTCCCACCTATCATGGAACATGTTGTTCGACGATGTACAGGGGTCAAGGTCAGGGTCAAGGTCAACCTAGGTCATCTAAGATAATTGCGTTTTAGGCAAGCTGAATTTACAATTTTTGTGAAGTTTTTTGACTGCATTTTTGGTAAAAGCTTCTCAGATCATGATTTCATGTGATATGGACCCAAAAACAATCGGTGCACACATCAGTATACACACAGACACACACAGACATACAAACACATATAATTGACCTTGACCTAACTTGACCTGAAATGACCTCAGCAGCAAAATTCTGGTCGGATAGTGTGACAAAGAGGTTCTAGCTGGCTTGGCACCAGAAAACAGCATCGTCATCGGTATTTGATAAGCAGCGCACTTGATATCCAACGGTGACCCAAAACAGCAACATTTTTTAGTTTGACCTGACCTGGAAGGTCAATGACTGACCTGAGAAGGTAAAACTGGGTATCATTGGATTCGTCTCTTCCCAAAGAATGTTTTTGGTCTTTACTGCTAAGCTCTATCTCCAACAGGAACGAAATGGCGCGGGGGGGGGGGTGGCAACCCCCCCCCCCCCATGTGCGTTCTAGGATGGGAAAATGGCATGTGCGGGCGAGGGTTAAAGTTGGTGGGTGATTCTGCTTTTCGTAGGAAGTTCAGCGATACCTTTTGATTTACTCAATATAAATACGGCACATCTTTTCAGCTTTGACGTCCTGTGTACCAAACAGAGCTTTTCCGTCACTCACCTGGTCTGTTGTTCGGGCACGCCGCGCAGCACGGCGCAGCCGCTCCACACGTCCGGTCCGGTCCCGGTGGCGGCGGGCGCGGCCACCCCGGGCGTCAGACTCTGCAGCCGCAGACTCCCGGCGTCCAGCCAGTCTGCCAGCCGGTCCCCGGGGCCGGTCCCCAGCGGCAGGGCCAGCCCGGCGGCGGCCACCGTCCGGCCGCGGCCCGTCAGTGCCGCGGTCACCTCGTACAGCGGCACCGGGCCCTGTTTGCGCCGCCACGGCGCGGTGACCGTGTCGAGCGCGGCGGCCAGCAGCGCACTGCCCTCGTACGGCGCCGCGCCGTACTCGAGGTGCTCGAACTGTCTCAGAGAGGGCGGGACGAGCGGCGCCGACCATCGCTCCTGTACGGAGAGCGGCGCGGACAGGGCAGCCAGCCGTCCGCCGGCGTCCAGCGTCAGCGCGGCGTTCACCGTACGGTGGACGATCTGCGGCAGCGTCAGCCGCGCCGGCGCCGGCGGCTGCAGCGGTACCAGCAGCGCCGGCCGCCGCGGGAACTCGTCACTGAGGTGGGCGAGCGCGCCGGCCGCCACGCCGCCGAACCCGTCACACCCGTCCGACACCACGTGGAACCCCTGCGGCACAGCGGGGAGGAGGTTATACACTGTCACACCCGTCCGACAGCACGTGGAACCCCTGCGGCACGGCGGGGAGGGAGGAGAGGTTATACAATGTCACACCCGTCCGACAGCACGTGGAATCCCTGCGGCACAGCGGGGGGGGGGGGGCAGTTCCTTCAGTGAAACAGAAACAGACCAAGGAATCTTCACTGACCTGATGGTAACTGAAGAATGTCTAACGACGATTATGGGTCCGTCACATGTAAAGAACGGCGGACAAGCTGTTGTACGCATATAATGACGTTGATTTATGTAAAACGTACGAACTGAAAACGTGCTTAATTCACGCCTCTAAGATGTGAATACGAACGGCGAGACTGAAGAGGTATGGAAGATACGTGTCCAGGGCGTGCAGTTGAACTTACTGCTAGGTGATCGCACTCCTCGGCGTAAGCTCTCAGGCGATCTTCAAAGCCGTCACGAAAATCCTCTCGTGAATACTGGGCTTCACCGTAGCTGTAAACAATCGTTCAGTGATCAATGCCTGTCCACTCAGTCGTCTTTTGCCAAATCATCACACAACAGTTCAATAGCTGTCATTCATAGAGTCTTGTTAAACTTTTCCACCAGCGCCCCTGACCACTCACCCGAACACGTCGAACGGGTCGCTGGCGTTGTCGTGCAGGTGCTCAGTGAGTATGTGCACGCTCCAGGGGTGTAGGTGGGTGCCCAGGAAGTCGGACCACACCTTCACCGCGACGTCTGGGCCGGCGGGGTCGTCAGGCTCTGCCTTGTCGTCGTCCGGCTCTGCTCTGATCTCAGGCGTCTCCGCCGGCTGACCGTCTGCTGGTCGGTGAAAAACATCAAAGTGATCTGTCAGGACACCAGAAAGCGAACAAGCAATGCATTGGCCAACAATATTTACAGTCAACAGAGTATGGTGACGATGAATATAGATGTTCAGGCGCCCGACCTGCAAAAGTGCTGGGGAAATCAAACAATTCCAAAGAGAGACACCCAGACCTTCCCCGCCGGACACGGCTCGCTCTGGCGACTGACCGTGGGTCTGGCAGACGTCCTTCTCGCCGGCCGGGTCACCGGTACCGTCCAGCCGCTGCAGCAGGCCCGGCCGGCCGGGCTCCTCCTTGTGGCGCACCGTGTCGCCGTGCCAGAGCCGCTCGGTGGCGGCGGCCGCCGGCGGCGCCTCCTCTCCGTACAGACGGCCGCGCCGGCGCAGGCCGCCCAGGCTGCCGCGCAGGTCCACCGCCAGCAGCCGCGGCGTGAACGTGCTCTCCCGCTGCTCGGCACGGCGCCCGGTCAGAAGACCCGAAACGGAGCCACAGGTACATTGAGGGGGTGGAAAGTGGAAACAGAAAGGTAGCAGAAAAACTATAAGAACGTCAAGCACGATAATATTCACCTTGAAAACCAACTTCAAAAACACAATTCTTTACATCTAGGTACCCTAAGCTGTCTTCAATGTTATGGTCAGCGCTGATCTTTAAATGTTCTTTTCATGAGCTAGCAATATTCCCAAACAAGAATAACTGCAGTGAGTAGGGATTGAAAAGGGGAGAAATACCTGAAATGTTTCTCCTTCACGAAATAAGACGCCATGGTCAATTTCTACTTTAGCAGTTGGATCATAAACAAATGACGCCTCTTGAATGTTCCACCAATGAGTGCCAACAAAGTTGGCATAATGACCTGTCTGCAGCGTTATGATCTCTGGAGTGTGAGAACCCATTCTGGAAGCAAATCAGTTGCTGACAGATAAATCTCCCTGCAACAAAAAAAAAAAGAGTCAACATTTGGATACTTATTGGCCTTTCACTTCATCTTGGTCAGTGTCCAGATGACAGTGGAAATGTTGCATAAACACTGAAACTGAAAAACCTTAATATCTACCCAACTAGTAGTGTGGTAGACTGCAGAACATATGCATTAGTATGTGTGAGCCTGGGGGACTCAGGTTTTTTTTTTTTGCCCTAGAAATTTGACATTCTGAGACAAAAAGTGTAATGTATCCCCTCATGACATCACAAACCTTTCTAGACTTGCAAGGCTAATTTTGCATGCTATTCAAACAGCTACTGAAAACAGCAGTTTGGAAACATGTTACATGGTTGTGCAGCATAGCAGACTTTGAATTGAGATAGGGGGAAGCTTAAAGTTTTGGTGACCTGGGGTCAGGTCAGTTACATCTATTTATTTATTGAGCCGGAGCGTCACTATCCCAATCCGAAATGGGATTCCCTTTCACTCCCGTCCATCTACCTGTTCAATTCATATAGGTGAAGCAGGAAACCTACCTGGTGAGTTGACCAGGTGAGTTATGTTTTTGTTATTGTTATCCTTACTTTCTACTGTAGCATTTACTATAAGAAACTTGAAAAATTAACATCGGATATCAACAATAACACGGTCCATCTTACCATTCGCGATGTTACTATGTAGCCTTTAGTTAATCCAGTCCATCCAGTCATAACTGTAACTGCAAGTAGGTAAGTCCTTGATTGCGATGCTTATCACTAATTGTTTGTTATGGTGTGTAGCCTAGTACTGCTCCAAATTCCAATAAAGTCGTTACTTCATATTGAGCCAGCAGTTCCAGCTCTATATAAAACTCACACAGATACCAACAAGTGGGATTATATTAAAATTCCAAACCCAAGGCTCTGTCACATGCACTGCAACTCTTTCCACTTTGGTTTTGGGCGGGCACTGTTATCAGGCATTTGAGCTAGCAATTGGTCCATAGCATGTCGTGTGACTAGAGGAGAGTTAGGTGGTAGGTAGAGAGAAGCAATTAGGATGTCGCGATTGAAAAGTGACACAGTAGCCGCAACGATGTTGAGTGGTGTAGTCAAGTTTGTTTGCCGTTGTGGAACTGCGTTAGCTATGTATAGGGCCACACCTCCTTGTCGATTAGTATGATTTATGTCGTGTCTATAAAGGGTGTAGCCAGAAACATTATAATTGTACTTATCAGAATCCCGAAAGTGCGTTTCTTGAATGGCTGCTACGAGAGGGGATTCTTTCCGCAAATATTGTTTAAATTCAGATAGGTGCGTTAGCAGCCCTCCTACGTTCCACTGGAGTAGCATGTCCCTAGCCATAGCTAACTTTCTTCCTCTTTAGCCTTCTACGCGCTTTCTTCTGGAACGAAAGCCCGCTTAGTCACGGGTTGAGATCGGATGCCCATGTTTTTCCGCTCCCTTGATGACCGAGCTCGGAGGCGGGTGTTCGGTCGCAGATCGGGAAGGGTGGAAGTGTCAGATTCGCTGTCAGAGGTGGCTGACGGTAGTCGTGACATTGGGGTCATGGCGAGTAGCTTCGGGGTTTCCTCGTTGTCACTACTAGTGTTGGCGGAGTCGAAAGTGTCGTCATCGGAGCCAAAAAGTGGGCCTTGTGACGCTTTCGGGGCCTGGGTGTGATGAGAGACGGGGAACGGGGTCGCTTGTACGGGCACAGTGGGGGCCTCCGCTTTGTTTCTTTCAGGGCTGAACTGCGTCAGCGACTCGTCCCCAGTGTCGTTCTCGCTATACGTCTCCGTTCGGGCGTTTTCAGTGTTCGATGGTTGTTGTTTGGCGGGGGACGCGGCTGCGTTCGGAAGCATCGCTGTGCGCTGCTCTCTGATGATCGAGGTGGAGAAGTGTCCTTCCTCGCGCGGTGTTGGCGGACTCTGTCCCTCGGTGGGTGACGGAGGAGAGCTTGGCTCCTCGGTGGGTAATGGGAGTGAGCGATTTTCTTCGATGGCCCTACCGGGTGGGCGCAGCTGCACGGTGGGCGGTGCGTGCGAGTGCTGGACTCCGGCGGACACTGCGGGAGGACGAGTCTCCTCTGGGGCCGGCAGGGGGGCATGAGGAGGGGACGCTTGGTTCGCGCTCGGCTGGGCTGGATCCGTTTGGGTGCCAGTGGTGACCGTGGATGGCCGATCCTTGCCTGTAGGGGCTCGAGGGGTCGGGAGGCTCGGCCACACGTCCGGACTCCTGGTGGTGGGATTCTGAGTCTCAGCACGGAGGGCGGCAGCCATTTCCATCCAGACAGGACATTTTTTATCCGTCACAGGGTGTGGTCCCTGACATGCTGCACAGCGGGGCGGGGCGGTGCATCCTTCGGACGAGTGGTCCTCAGAGCAGCGTGCGCATCGAGTGCGGCTCCGACAGGTGTTTTTGCCATGTCCATACCTCAGGCACTGCCCACACCTGCGTGGTAGGGGGATACAAGGTCGTACCTCGTATCGTAGGAAGGCAGCGTAGAAGTGGGAGGGGAGGAGCATGGCAGCGAACCTGATTTTCAGCAGGGGACTCGGACGGTGGGTTTTTGATGGTAGTCGTGTAACCATGGTCACCCCTTGCAAGACGCTTTCATCCAGGATAGCCTGAACTGACTCCTCCACAAGCTCAGGTGCATACACTAGCCCCTCCCGGTGGTTTAGCTTATCAGCTAGGATGACCTGGATTTTCTTTCCCTCAATGGAAGACCAATTCAGAAGTGTCTCTGTCTGGGTGCGGTCCCTCGTTTGGATCAAGAGAGCGCCACTGCGGGTCGGGGTAACCTTCTCCGGCCGTTTAGACAGGATGAGTTTTAGAGAGTCCCTGATTTTGTAGGGGCTGGTGCTTTTGAAGCTGAGGGTTTTGTCTTCGTACCGCACCAGCAGAAATGCTGAACCCTCTGGCACAGTGGTCTGACTAGCTGAAGCTGTACTTCCAGCAGATCTGTTTGGATTGCCTGTTTTTGGTGGCATGTTTCCTCACTATGGGGTTTAAGCCAGGAGATGGAGCAATGTGATGGTGTGAGAAACGAGATGAGATGAGATGTGGAACAGAGCTGTGAGCACAAGTACAAAATCAATGGAGCGAAGAGGAAGGACAAAGATGAACCAGTTTGAAAAATTGACCAGCAGACTGAACCTAAGAGCAGGAGTAAGAAGAGCAAGAGCAAAGAGATGATAAATTAACTGACCAAGAAAATGGTGCCAAAAACCACGAGGCAAGGAACTGGAACAGCCACAAACAGGCTGTTATCCTAAACCTGAGTCCGAGATGGAGTTGAAAACTCAGATGCAGTGGAAAAGTTAGGGAAAATGCCTTGAAGGTCCAGAAGTGAGAGATATGAAAAACGCTCTTTTTCCAAACGTGAGCGTTATCTTACCGTTGCTAGCCGAAAGGAATTTTCTAGAAGCCGAAACGCCGAGGGAAAGATCAGTGCTTTTTAAATACGGGGCCAGTCCTGGAACGCTGACAAACGCGCGGGCAGCCCTCTTTTTATCGCAGGAGCGATAAAAGGCAAGAGCAGAATGCAAAATGCAAAATGCAAAGGAAAACTATCTAATCGCAAAAAGACCACACGACGCTACCAGCGATGGCGCGAGACGACGTTGACTCCCTAGCAATGCAAGTCACCGTAAACAGCGGTTTGCTCTGAGAGCCGTTTTTAATATTTGCGAATAGCTGTGAAAACGCAAGCTTCGCTTACCATTGGTTAATAGCTGCTTAAAAACGCCGGTGACTCGAAAAAATAGGACTTAGAACAAAATTAAACGTTACAACTGCGCAGTTTTTGATTGAAAAAGAGCTACCATATAATTTGCTTCCATATTTCCTGTCCATGGCGATGTGCGCATACAACGGGGAATAACGGTTAGGATGTGATTGTTTTGAGATTATCTCAGTTTGTGTGGTTTATGCTAATTTTCAGATCAGTCATTTTTCGCTGTTAATTGGTTATCTATATTGCAATTTACCCGCGCCGTTTCCCTTTTGAAACGGTCGATAGTCTGAACGTTGGCAAGGCTTTCACTTCCCATGAAAAATTCCTCAAGAAATCCACAAAAATTCTTCTAGTGTAATCACGGGAATGCAGCTAATGGTGACATTGGGCCACAAAAAGGAACCCACCCAACACCCGTTAATAAACTGTGGTAGTCGTAAACCAGGTGTCACACTCGTTTTTTGCAACCTAGGAGGAGTGCTATACCCATAGATGCTTGACTTATTGCAGACAGCAGCCAACATTAGCATTGTTTTGTACAAGATTACTTCTCTGATATCCCCTCAGTTTTTTCACAACTTGAATTGGGTGAATTAGTTAAGCTAATTTTGGCAGCATCTGTGTGTTTTCCTACATGTTTCTCTTAGCTACCTACTGGCTTGCTTGAGGTAAAAGCAAATCTGGATCTATCAGTCTGGATCAGTCTGGTTTGCACAATGCATAATGTCAAGTGATTTCAGTCTTATCCAAGTAACTCAAACTTCAGCTTGCATTTTCCTCTTTCACATTTTTGATAGGTACCTACCTGCCCTATATTTTATTTGATGAGCTGCATTGCTCATGACATGAAATTTTATTTTACCTTCAGTGGCTTCAGTCCTTCTTTTGTTTTTAATAACATTTTTTTATATTTACTGTGTATTGAATGTTGAATATTTTGCTAAATTCCAGGCCCAAGTTAAGATGATGACAAAATGAAAATTGTTTAAAAAATACCAGTACCTACCTATGATGGTATTCTATTATCTTTTTTTTTGTGTTCACTTTTTGTTAGAACCATTATGTAATATATGTTCTTTTGGTCTAATTCAGTACCTAACTTTTACATTGCTTATTATTTTGTTGATTTACTAGGTCAAGACTCAAGTTACCATATACAAACTAGCAATGAAAATGGTTTAATGCATTATGCATACCTATTGCTTGAAACATATTACATATACCTACCTAATCCCTGAAGGCCAAGCACTAAATAGAATGAGTTGGTGGTAGCCTAACAAGAAATATTTAGCTCATCAGTCATCAAATGGTACATACCTTAACCTATATCTGACTAGCTCATGTGTTTATTTCAGATTCTTTACTCTGATGTTTGTTGATCTGGTCCTGCTGAGGAGTTGTAGATGCAATAAAAATAGACAGGAAAGTTCCCTGTTGTCTATCCCCAACTGAAATGGAAACAGAAAGAAAACCAGTCATAACATGTAAGTATGATCCCTACACGATCAAGAGCCCATCCTGGCAATAACATATCAGCATTTCTACTGCCAAAACAAAAAATGAAGCATGTTCTCATATCAAATTGATGAGAGAATTGTCATGTTCTAGGTAGATATCAATCTGAATGGTCTTTGTGTGCACTCAGCCAGGAATTGATTTTAAATAATTGAATGCCCTAGAGGTGCAGTACATCCTCGTTTCCTGACTCCCTCCTGTCTGCCGCAGACGCCGGCAAGCTGGGAGTGTTCCAGCTGCAGCAGTGTCCCCTGACGCCTTCCCTGTCTCCCCCGCAGACGCCGGGGAGCCGGCGGTGTTCCAGCAGTTGCAGAACGGCCCCTGACGCCTCCCCTGTCCCCCGCAGACGCCGGGGAGCCGGCGGTGTTCCAGCAGCTGCAGAACGGCCCCTGACGCCCCCCCCCCCCTGTCCCCCGCAGACGCCGGGGAAACGGCGGTGTTCCAGCAGCTTCAGAACGGCCTGGTGCACGGCCTGCCACAGGAGTCGGTCGAGTGGCGCCGCAGCTACGGCCGTGCGCCGCGTCACGTCACGCTGGAGGCCAGCTTCGAGCCGTTCTCGGAGGCCACGCTGATGGACGACATGAGCACGCTGGTGCGACGGCCGTGCCTGCACACATTCTGGACCGACTGTCCGGTAAGCGGGGACTGAACGTTCGGTGAGAGCGGGCACTGACTGATCTGTGAGCAGGGGTCGATTTTACGGTGAACGGTAGTATCCGTTTTACGGTGAGCCGTTGTGACTCGTGAATGTCCTGCGAGCGAGTATCGGCTGTCCGTTGAGAGGGGACTGAATGTTCTGTGAGAGATACGGTGGGTCGTTCGATAGTCGATTAGAGGGGAGAAACTGTACGGTGAGAGGGGAGAAACTGTACGGTGAGAGGGACATACTGTCTGGTGAGTATGGAACGAACTTCCGGTGAGCTGAGACCGGATGTCCGGTGAACGGGGTCTGACTGTCTGATAAGCAGTTCTGACTGCCCCTCAAAAGGGATCATCGCACGGTGAGTTATGGCTGATGGACTGCGGCAGTCAACATTTGGGAACCGATGATAAACGTCATCCGGGTTGTCATTGTGCTGGGACGTCGATCGCAGACAGGAAAATGTGTCGCTTTTCGTTTCCCTGACACTCTCCCACGCTCGAGTCAGCTAGTTTTCCTCTGAATATTTTGCGGCTATCAAATACACTTTTTGTTGCATCTTACCTCACTTGTTGTTACTTGATTTTTGCATTCTTCCATTCTGCTTTTATTCATTAATTTATAGTTCATTAATCGTTTCCTTTTGTATTTCATATCATGCTCAGTGGCCAATTTTTAACTTTTGTACCCGATGCTCGTTCATCGTACATAACACGTCAACTGTCTTTCCGCCCTCGTCAGGACATTGAGACGTACAAGTCTAGCACGCGCGAGTCGCTCCAGTCGTGGCTGGCCCAGCTGCGACAGCACAACGTGGTCGACTGGCTGGTGGTGGTGGTCGAGTCGGCCGAGGCGCGCAGCAAGACCAACAAGCTGCTTGCCGCGCTCCTCGGTCCTCGACAAGGTCAAGGCCGACATCAACAGCAAACACGGAGACCGGTTAGTAGCGTACAGCCGCGGAATCGGTTAACACTCAGTCAGATAATTGAAGCCTGCTTAAAATGGAATCGGTTTATATGCGGGTTGACTGATTGTGGATACCTAGATATCATCGAGAAACCAATGGATAAGGACCAGTTTTAACATTACATCTCCATATCCGGCGCTCACCGTCGTCTCCCCGTCCCTCCGGATTAAACTCGTGTAACTCCTCCCCCGAGTTGCCGGTCCCCGGTGTCTTTCGCTTCTCATCTCTGTCCGTTGTTCTGCAGGTGTATCACGCTGCTGGACCCCTCCAAGTCGGACTCCCTCTCTCCCCGCCCCCAGTGTCCGATGTAACCCCTCCCCTGACCGTTGTTTGGTTGTTCTGCAGGTGTATCACGCTGCTGGACCCCTCCAAGTCGGACTCTCGCTCGGCCGGCTCCCTGCATAGCCTGCTCACCAAGCTGCGGCACTTCCTGCTGATCGGCTTTAACCGGGTGTTGGTGCGGTTTGAGGACGCCATGCGCAGTCAGCGTGAGTAGCCGGCGAGCGGTGGTGGCGGGGGACCGTGGCTGCTCTATAACTGCCAGATGTTTAGATTTTATCAGCCAGCAGCTTATCAGTTATACAATTACTGACTCGTGCAAAACAGTTGAAACCTACAGCAAATCGTCTGCCTGAAATTTCGTTTCAGTTTTTGACTGTCTTAGATTTTCTGTATACGATTCCCTTTTTTAGCGCCTACGAACTTGCCTCCAGCCGTCGTTTTTATTCACCCGCATTTCCCTCTCCGCAGGCGAGAAGCGCACTTCGAGCGACTGGAGTTTCTGCCGGTACTTTCCGCTGCAGGAGGAGCTGGCGTTGTGTTCGGACAGCTGGGCCTCTGTGACGAGGCGCTCGTGCAGTACGACGAGCTGGACGCCCTCTTCACACAGTTTATACTCAACTCGTGCGCTGGAGGTCAGTTGAACACTCACTGGTTTGCCAGAACACCCGGCATCCGTGGTGCTGTTCACGTTTTGCAGTAGGTAATCTGATTCGAGTTAGCTTATTGTAATTGGGTTTTGTTTGTGGCGAGGATAAGGAGGAACTTCATATTGGGCACTATTTGGTCCGTGATTATTGGCCAGCCAATGCATCCACAAGTTGTAAATTCATGAATCGAATATGAATATTATTTCCTACTACATCCTTCTCGAAACGTTCCTTCTCTAACCGACAGCTGCAGAACTCACGATCCTATGTGTCTCCCAGTCTGTGTATAACAGACACACCGCGCTGGCTGGAGACGTTCTCGCAGCCGGTTCAGGGCTGGCAGGGACTGGCCGTAGTGGTACTCTCTGACCAATGTCTCCCCTCTGTGTATAACAGACACACCGCGCTGGCTGGAGACGTTCTCGCAGCCGGTTCAGGGCTGGCAGGGACTGGCGGTAGTGGTACCCACAGTGACCAATGTCTCCCCCTCTGTGTATAACAGACACACCGCGCTGGCTGGAGACGTTCTCGCAGCCGGTCCAGGGCTGGCAGGGACTGGCCGTAGTTATACCCACAGTGACCAATGTCTCCCCTCTGTGTATAACAGACACACCGCGCTGGCTGGAGACGTTCTCGCAGCCGGTCCAGGGCTGGCAGGGACTGGCCGTAGTGTTACCCTCTGACCAATGTCTCCCCCTCTATATGTGACAGACACTCCGCGCTGGCTGGAGACGTTCTCGCAGCCGGTCCAGGGCTGGCAGGGACTGGCCGTGCCCGCCAGCTGCTCGGAAGAGATGCGGAACGCCCTCTGCAATCGAGAGATGTCGCTGCACGCCTTCAGGTAC